CTGTGGGTTTTACAGATTCAGATCATTTCGGGGTGTTCCTTTTACTGGTTTGAAAATGATATATTCACCCAAAATGTTTTACCAGTTTCACTTTGCTCTCCATGCTAAGTTACTCCCGTTCAGAGCGCCACACGACACACTCAGACTGAATCCCGCTAATAAAACTCCTGCACATCAGGTTTGTCTCGTCGCTCTGAACAGTTTATGTCGTGTTTTTGTTTACAGGGCGTCCCAAAAAGTGTGACATCATTTCACAGCTGATAGTTTGGGGAGTTCTTGTTGAAATAAGCTCAAATTTTCACTGAATATTTAGAATCGCGGGCTGTAACGGTTCGTGTGTTTATGTTGATCAGTTTCAGTGCTGGACGTTTGGTTCGGTGCAGGTCTGTGAGTGAGTTTGCGCGATTTGTGTGTGTTTACATTCCTCCTTTACATGTGCAGCTCCACGGAGGCTTGACTCTTTAATATTCACAAGGAACTCGTCCCTGATTGGTGCAGTTGTAGTTGTTTCCTGCAGCGCTTTATAGTTAGAGCGACCACCGTGAAAACAGCTGACCCCCGACTTGACTACGTACGTTTTTTTTTTTTATTTATGGGCCCGGTCAAGCAGAAGTAAACAACAAGGCCAAAAATTCAAGTTAATGCATCTGATATAAAAGTGTATTGAACAGATACATATGTACTCGAGTTTATCAAACTGTTGACCTTTTTTCTGTAACATTTTTGGTTCTAAAGTTCCATCTGTTTTAAACAGACCATGAATGAAACATGGAACAAAAATTATTTCCCAAATTTCAAAGACCTGAAAATCATGTAAATAAATGTTTGTATTTCATCATATCTTGTGTTATTCCATCTTTGAACTGTTGATGAAGGGACAGGATTTTTTTTTTTTAATGTATTTAAAATGATAAAAATGTTCTTGGAAGGACTGACATATTTTATAGAAATAGTTTCCTTTCATTTTGAAGTAATATTAAAATATTCTCTTCTCTAAAGTTAACTCTTTCCTACATTCTGATACTTTACTTATGTCAATAGTTCCTCTAGTTTGTGAATAAGAGACATTTGAATGTCAAAAATCTGACCCTGTTTCCGTCCGTTACCACTTGACCCTTATAAAACACTTTTCACAGATACGTCCTTTTAAACCACGTGAATCGTCGCGCCGCGGTCCTCACCCACCGCCATCACACCTGTATTTTCTTTTTTTTTAATTCAAATTTTTATCAACAGTCAAATAGAGACAGTTTCAAATCACAAATGTACAACAATTTGCTTCTTTTTTTTTCTTTCCCCCTTCGTCCTTCTTTCACTTCACGTGTCTCTCTTTGATAGAATTGATTATTTTTTTCCCCCTTATTCCGTTAAGGATACAAAGAAAGAAATTAAAATAAAATTAAAATAAAAAAAAACTGAAAAAAACAAACAAACACTTGAACACTTGAGCAGCAGTGCACAGGGTTTGTTGAACGTGTTTTTTCAGTCTTCAGACAACGTGGAGAATTTGTTTTTTTCTGACCAAAAATCTGAAGCTTGAGTAAAAGTTCACGCTGGAACTGTTCGTGCTGCATTTTACTTTTGGAAAACTTTTACTTTTTTTGTTTACAAGGACTTTATTTTTTACAATTTTTCTAACATTTGTTGCTTATTTGAGAAGATTTGATTTCACTTATTAGTTTTACCAAGCAGAACTTTGACTTTATTTTATTTTCAAACTAATTATTGGTTTAATAAAAACACAAATAAACAACAAGTAAATGGTTTTGAATTTTTAGTCGTAGGTTTTACGTTTTACTAAACCCTGATGAAGACCAGTTTGTCGGCTTTGGCCATTTAAATAAAAGCCTTTTAACTAGATTTTTCCTTGCGCGATTTTTTACTTTTTCACGTCTTTGGAGCGTCTGGAATCGGTTTGTGTTTAAAGTTTTGATCCTTTTTTCCAAGAGCCTCGACCTGCTCCCACTGACTGAACATCTGCAGCAAACACACACACTTTTGTTCTTTCTGGTTTTACATTTTGTTGAAATGAACCGAACTGTGACCTCAAAACCGAAGAACTGACCAAACTGTGACTTTTGTAGATTGAGATTTTGTATTTAATGTTTTATTTTTGTTCTGTTTTCAGGTCGAGCCGTTCACTCCCAAACAGAAGCACTTTTGCGTCTTGGAATTTGGAAAAAACTTCATCATCTGAACCAAAAATCTAAAGAGGAAAGTCTGAAAAGAAAAGAGGAAGAGCTCGACTTTGTATTTTTGGGATAACTGCTTTTAAAATGACGTCAGATTTTTTGGGACACTCTGTATTTCTGGAGAATTGTCGTGTGGGAGCGTAGGCTTGTGGGCGGAGCCTCGTACACACTCGTACCTCTCGCCGTAAGAAGGATTTGATCACATCTCAAAACGTTTTCAGGCAGGTTTTTGACGAGAAACAACGTTAGAGAAAAAACAAAACTAAAGAAAAGCAGAATACCCCCTCTTTAAACACTTTAATCAACACATTATTTCTCATTTTCTCATTTTGTTCCTAAACTATAAAAGCCTCTGTGACATTTTGAACGTTTCTTGCCCTGGTCGGTTGTGAAAAGTGTGGAATCCTGTAAACACGTGTCACCGCCGCCGCCACCGCCGCCGCCGCCGCCGCGCCGCCGCCACGTCCCGGAGAAAAGAACGGAACAGAAGACACATTTAAAGACGACGCACAGAATCCTCCCGTGAGACAAAACCTGTAGCAAAAAAGATCGCGAAGAAACGGGAACTTTTGGATGTGTTTTCGTTCTGCGGCCGAGGAGTCCGGGGGTCAAACAAACGGGGGGGGGGGGGGGGGGGGCTAGAAAACACGGAGCGGAGTCCAGCGCGGAGAGCGGGAGTCCCACATCCACGGCAGCCGGGAGGAGGGGGGCGGAGCTCGGAGAGGAGGGGGAGGAGATAAGTGGCGAGAGGGAAAAACGGGAGCAGTGACGAAGATCGGACCAAACGGGTAAAAGTGCCAGGACCAAGAGCAGGTCTGGTTATGATCCTGGTCTGGACTAAAGCTGGACTCTTCTCAAAAAAACAGACCTGAGAGACCAAACACAGACCTGCTTTAGTCCTGGGTCAGTCCTGCTTCAGTTTTGATTAAATCCTGGTTCAGTTCTGGTTTAGTCCAGTTTGACTTCAGGTTCAGTCCTGGTTTAGACCTGGTTTTGACCTGATTTAGTCCTGAATTAGTCTTGGTTAAGTCCCTGGTTCAGATCCAGTTTAGTCCTGGTTCAGTCTTTGTTTAGTCCCTGGTTTTTAACCTGGTTTAGTTCTGATTTAGTCTTGGTTTTTAACCTGTTTTAGTCCTGGTTTAGACCTTGTTTAGTCCAGGTTTAGTCCCTGGTTTAGTCCCTGGTTTTGACCTGGTTAGTCCTGGTTTAGTCAAGATTTAGTCTTGATTTAGTTGATGATTTAGTCCTGATTTTGATTTGGTTTAGTCCCTGGTTTAGACCTGGTTCAGTCCTGGTTTAGTCCTAATTTAATCCCTGGTTTAGTCCCTGGTTTAGACCTGGTTTGGTCCCTGGTTTTGACCTGTTTTAGTCCAGATTTAGTCTTGATTTAGTCACTGGTTTAGTCCTGGTTTAGCCCTGGATTTGACCCGGTTTAGTCCCTGGTTTAGTCCCTAGTTTTGACCTGGTTTAGACCTGGTTCAGTCCTGTTTTAATCCTGGTTCAGTCTTGTTTTAGTCCTGGATCTTGTCACTGCTCCTGTCGGCTCGTCTAAACCTCGACATCACAAACTCTTTCTCTCTCCTCTCTCTTCGTCTCTCCTCCTCCTCGTCCTCGTCCTCGTCCTCGTCTTCGTCCTGGCGAGCGCTCGGCCGTGGAGCCTCTTCGTGTTCGCGTTTGTCCGTGTGTTGTTTGAGTTTCAGTCGTCGTTGGCCCGTCCCTCGTCCGCCGCCGCCGCCGTCGCCGCCGCCGCGCCCCACAGCAGCGTGGCGTTGTGGGAGAGGAGCAGGACGGAGTGCAGGATGACGAGCGCCAGCAGGGGGCAGAGTTTGGGGCGGGGCGACGCGGAGCTCGGCCACGCCCCCTGGTGCTGACACGAGGGAGAGGCAGTCCTTTGTCGAGTCCCGTGTGAGGGCGGCGACGGCGGCGACGGCGGCGAGGGCGGCGAGAGCGGCGAAGGAGGCGCCCATCGCACGTCACAGCAGCGCGCCTCCAAGTCCGACGCCAGACCTGACACAGACCAAAACAAGACCCGGGTTAGACCTGGTTTAGTCCTGGTTCAGTCCTGTTTGAGTCCAGTTTGAGTTCTACTTCAGTCCAGTTTTAGACCAGTTTGAGTCCAGTTTGAGTTTAGTTTTGATCCAATTTTAGTCCAGCTTTAGTCCAGTTTTAGTTCTACTTTAGTCCAGTTTTAATCCAGTTTCAATCCAGTATGAGTCCAGTTTTAGTCCAGTTTAAGTTCAGTTGGAGTCCTGTTTTAGACCAGCTTGAGTCCTGGTCTGGTACCATCTTTAGTCCAGTTTTAGTCCAGTTTTAGTCCATGTTTAGTCCTGGTTTAATCCAGTTTTAGTGCAGTTTTAGTCCTGGTGGTTGGTCTTGGTCTTGGTCTTGGTCTTGGTCGTGGTCTGGTCCTGGTCTGGTCCTGGTCTGGTCTTGGTCTAGTCCTGATCTGGTCTTGGTCTGGTCCAGTTTGAGTCCCGGTCTGGTACCTGTGCAGATGAAGCTGGGGCTGCCTCCGTGGATCAGGTCTTCGTTGTCTGGTTTAGTCCTGGTTTAGTCCTGGTTTAGTCTTGGTGTGGTCTTGGTCCTTGGTCTTGGTCTGGTCTTGGTCTGGTCCAGTTTGAGTCCCGGTCTGGTACCTGTGCAGATGAAGCTGGGGCTGCCTCCGTGGATCAGGTCTTCGTTGTCGGGGAGGATGAAGGGGCAGCTCTGTTGGACCTGGAGGCAGCTGGTGCCACAGGGGACGGTCCGGGCGCACGACGGGGAGGTGTCCGGGAAGAACTGCGCACACAACCACCACTTGTACGCCATCTAGAGGAGACGCACAACACACACACACACACACACACACGTGAACGCACACACACACACACACACACACACACACACACACACACACACACACACACACACACACACACACGGGAACTGTTAAAGATGTCATTTCTCTCTTTAAATCTCCAGGTTCATTTTGTTTTCGCGTAAAACAACAGATTCACACTTGTTGTTGTTGTTGTTGTTTTTATCAGTTTCACTTTTGTTTTTGTCGTCCCTCCCTTTGCTCTCTGTGCTGTCACTCCCCCTTCAGAGCACCATCACAACACAATCAGCCGCAGCTCACGTATGAAACCATCTCTCCCTCCCTCTCTCTCCTCCCCTGCTCTCTCTCCATCTCTCCTCTCTCTCTCTCTTTCTCTCTCTCTCCCTGTTCTCTTTCCCTCTCTCTGTTCTCTCTCTCCTTCTTCTGTCTCTCTGGTCTCTTTCTCTCCCTCCCTAACTCTCCTTTTTCTCTCTCTCTGTTCTCTCTCTCCTCCCTGTTCTCTTTCTCTCTCTCTCTCTCTCTCTCCTTGCTCTCTCTTTCTCTCTGTTTTCTCTCTTTCTCTCTGTTTTCTCTCTTTCTCTCTGTTTTCTCTCTCTCCTCCCCGTTCTCTCTTTCTCTCTGTTCTCTCTCTCTCTCCTTGTTCTCTCTTTCTCTCTGTTCTCTCTCTCTCTCCTTGTTCTCTCTTTCTCTCTGTTTTTCTCTCTCTCCTCTGTTCTCTCTCTCCTCCCTGTTCTCTTTCCCTCTCTCTGTTCTCTAGAATCGTTTGCATCTTTCTTGTTTTCTCACTCCCTCTCTCTCCTATTTCTCTCTCTCTGTTCTCTCTTTCTCTCTCTCTCCTTTCTCTCCTTGTTCTTTCTCTCTTTTCTTTCTTAAGCTGCTTATTTTCATCTGACAGGAGCAGTGGAGCAGACAGGGCTTTCCCCAAACCTCCTCCCCTCCATCCCTCCATCCCTCCATCCTGCCCGAGAGGAGGAGAGAGGTTAACCACTCTGCTACTGTGAGTCTAAATAAAGGTTGTGACTCATGACGATCACACGATAAAGACGCTAACGAGTCTAACGAGTCTAACGACTGTGACGATGTGAACACACCTCAGGTATTTTTACCTCCTGCAGCGCCTTCGTCCACCACTAGAGGCCCTCACTTCTACCCCTCTGTCTTCTCTTCTCTCATCCTCTCATCCTCTCATCCTCTCATCCTCTCTCCCGTTTACTCTAAGTATAGACCAGGTTTAGTCCAGGTTTAGTCCAGGTTTAGACCAGTTTTAGTCCAGATTTAGACCAGTTTTATTCCAGTTTTAGACCAGTTTTAGACCGGGTTTAGTCCAGGTTTAGACCGGGTTTAGTCCAGATTTAGACCAGTTTTAGTCCAGGTTTACACCAGTTTTATTCCAGTTTTAGACCGGGTTTAGAGCAGTTTTAGTCCACATTTAGACCAGTTTAAGACCAGTTTTAGTCCAGGTTTAGACCCGTTTTAGACCAGGTTTAGTTCAGGTTTAGACCAGTTTAAGTCCAGGTTTAGACTAGTTTTAGTCCAGGTTTACACCAGTTTTAGACCGGGTTTAGACCGGGTTTAGTCCAGTTTTAGACCGGGTTTAGTCCAGTTTTAGACCGGGTTTAGTCCAGGTTTAGACCAGGTTTAGTCCAGATTTAGACCAGTTTTATTCCAGTTTTAGACCAGTTTTAAACCAGGTTTAGTCCAGGTTTAGACCGGGTTTAGTCCAGGTTTAGACCAGTTTTAGACCAGGTCTAGTCCAGTTTTAGACCGGGTTTAGTCCAGGTTTAGACCGGGTTTAGTCCAGGTTTAGACCAGTTTTAGACCAGGTCTAGTCCAGTTTTAGACCAGGTCTAGTCCAGTTTTAGACCGGGTTTAGTCCAGGTTTAGACCGGGTTTAGTCCAGGTTTAGACCAGTTTTAGACCAGGTCTAGTCCAGTTTTAGACCGGGTTTAGTCCAGGTTTAGATCAGTTTTAGACCAGGTCTAGTCCAGTTTTAGACCGGGTTTAGTCCAGGTTTAGACCGGGTTTAGTCCAGGTTTAGACCAGTTTTAGACCAGGTCTAGTCCAGTTTTAGACCGGGTTTAGTCCAGGTTTAGATCAGTTTTAGACCAGGTCTAGTCCAGTTTTAGACCGGGTTTAGTCCAGGTTTAGATCAGTTTTAGACCAGGTCTAGTCCAGTTTTAGACCAGGTTTAGTCCAGGTTTAGACCGGGTTTAGTCCAGATTTAGATCAGTTTTAGACCAGGTCTAGTCCAGTTTTAGACCGGGTTTAGTCCAGGTTTAGACCAGTTTTAGACCAGGTCTAGTCCAGTTTTAGTCCAGGTTTAGACCAGTTTTAGACCAGGTCTAGTCCAGTTTTAGTCCAGGTTTAGACCAGTTTTAGACCAGGTCTAGTCCAGTTTTAGACCGGGTTTAGTCCAGGTTTAGACCAGTTTTAGACCGGGTTTAGTCCAGTTTTAGACCGGGTTTAGTCCAGTTTTAGACCGGGTTTAGTCCAGGTTTAGACCAGTTTTAGACCGGGTTTAGTCCAGATTTAGTCCAGTTTTAGACCGGGTTTAGATCTGAAAAGTTCTTTTCTGTGGGCGTCTGTCAGCTCCGTGTCTCTGTGGAGATGTGATTGTTTGAGCAGAAATGTTGCACACTAGGGCATTAAAGCAGCCGATCTTCATGGAGACAAAAAGCTCACGCGACTGAGGCAAATTACGGGTCAGATCAGTGGAGAGGCGAGCCAAGTCAGACAGAATGCATTTTTGTCAAAAAAACAATAATAATACACGAAAGATGGATTTTTAATGCCATAACACAGAACCAAACCAGGACTAAACCAGGACTAAACCAGGACTAAACCAGGACTAAACCAGGACTAAACCAGGACTAAACCAGAACTAAACCAGGACTAAAACCAGGTCTAAACCAGGTCTAAACCAGGACTAAACCAGGTCTAAACCAGGACTAAACCAGGTCTAAACCAGGACTAAACCAGGTCTAAACCAGGACTAAACCAGGACTAAACCAGGACTTGTCCTGGATTTAAACCTGTGTGTGTTTGTGTTGTTTGTTTCAGACACATTAGTTAATGACTGGAGCCTATGGGCCATAGTCTGTAATCCAACACACACACACACACACACACACACACACACACACACACACACACACACACACACACACACACAAACACACACACACACACACACACACACACACAAACACACAACACACACACACACACACACACACAAACACACACACACACACACACACACACACACACACACACACACACACACACACACACACACACACACACACACACACACACACACACACACACACACACACACACACACACACACACACACACACACACACACACACACACACACACACACACACACACACACACACACACACACACACACACACACACACACACACACACACACACACACACACACACACACACACACACACACACACACACACACACACACACACACACACACACACACACACACACACACACACACACACACACACACACACACACACACACACACACACACACACACACACACACACACACACACACACACACACACACACACACAAACACACACACACACACACACACAAACACACACACACACACACACACACACACACACACACACACACACACACACACACACACACACACACACACACACACACACACACACACACACACACACACACACACACACACACACAAACACACACACACACACACACAAACACACACACACAACACACACACACACACACACACACACACACACACACACACACACACACAAACACACACACACACACACACACACACACACACACACACACACACACACACACACACACACACACACACACACACACACACACACACACACACACACACACACACACACACACACACACACACACACACACACACACACACACACACACACACACACACACACACACACACACACACACACACACACACACACACACACACACACACACACACACACACACACACACACACACACACACACACACACACACACACACACACACACACACACACACACACACACACACACACACACACACACACACACACACACAAACACACACACACACACACACACACACACACACACACACACACACACACACACACACACACACACACACACACACACACACACACACACACACACACACACACACACACAAACACACACACACACACACACACACACACACACACACACACACACACACACACACACACACACACACACACACACACACACACACACACACACACACACACACACATAACACACACACAACACACACCACACACACACACACACACACACACACACACACACACAACACACACACACACACACACACACACACACACACACACACACACACACACACACACACACACACACACACACACACACACACACACACACACACACACACACACACACACACACACACACACACACACACACACACACACACACACACACACACACACACACACACACACACACACACACACACACACACACACACACACACACACACACACACACACACACACACACACACACACACACACAAACACACACACACACACACACACACACACACACACACACACACACAAACACACACACAAACACACACACATCTACAGGATTCATGTGAGCGACAGGAGCAGACAGGAGCTGGACCAGGACTAAACCAGGTCTGAACTGGGACTAAATTAGGACTAAATGAAGACCAGGAGACCAAAGCAGGGAATAAACCAGGACTAAACTTGATCTGAACCAGAATTTTATTAGGACCAAACCAGGTCTAAACCAGGTCTAAACCAGGTCTAAACCAGGTCTAAACCAGGACTAAACCAGGTCTAAACCAGCTGTAAACCAGGTCTAAACCAG